GTCCCAGCTACTCAGGAGGCTGAGGCAGAAGAATTGCTTGAACCTGGGAGGCATAGGTTGCAGTGAGCCAAGATTGTGCCACTGCACTCCAGCCTGGGTGACAGAATAAGACTCTGTCCCCATCCCCACCAAAAAAAAAAGTACCAAGAAGCTACCATGGTACAAGACAGTCTGCACTACTGTGGGGACAGTGAAGATGGAAGGAAGAGTATGATCTAGGTGTTACTGCAATAGCAGGATGCACTGAGCTGACTGGCTACAGGGACTGAAGGAAAAGTAACAGTCACAGAAAAAGTGGGGGTCTTTCTCTCAGAACTATGTTAAGTGATGTACCACAATCACAAAAATCCATATCCAGTCCAGTGTATATCCTCAACCCAACTTTCCTAAATTCCTTTTCTCAAGAATCAGTGATGCCTCAGAGAAAACTTCTTCCACAAATGGCCAGAAGATGTCACTCCAGACAGCACCATGCATATACTGTGATCCTTGTGTGAGTGTACCGCCCTGCCATTTGTGAAGAGAAAATTCCCCTTGGCTCCCTTCCTAACTCCCGTAGCCCCCCGCTCCTGCTCTGCTTAGTCTCCTCCCTTTACCCTGTGACTCCTATCCTCTTGCTCTGAAATCCAGCACAGTGTTTTTCTGATGCCCTGGCAACCTGGAGGTAGAACTGACCCCTAAAGGTGGCCGAGCCAACATCGAGACTGGGTTATCTATGTGCGTCCCTGTTCTCTCTTCATGATGTTCATTTAGATTTCTAGCAAAACCTATGCTTGTGCTGTCAACCTCACCCATTTCCGCCTAGCCGCTTGAGTTTCAATCAGTGAGTACAGGGACACCCCTGTTCCCTCTTTTCTCACACTCTTCCAAACTGGCCCAATTTTCACATATTAGCATTTAAAGATTTGGTGATGCATTACTTTGCCTCACTTTCTAAAAATATTAGTGTTTTTAGCAAAATAATCACTACACATTACCCTATAAACAGCCCTGAGATATAGGAAATGATGAACATTCCTAAGTCAAGCTAAGTGACTTATCCAAAGGGACTATGTCACAGTCATGGGACTGGACTCTGACAGCTAAGGCCGGGTGCCGTGGTGGCTCATGCCTGTAATCCAAGCACTTTGGAGGCCAAGGCGGGCAGATCACCTGAAGTCGGGAGTTCAAGAACAGCCTGACCAACATGGTGAAATCCCATCTTAAAAAAAAAAAAAAAAAAAAAAGACCTAGTAACAAAGAAAAAATGTTGCAGGCCAATTTCTCCCCTATTTTCCTGCTCATGACTTCTATTTGTGATCCTTTTCACTGTTTCTTATTTGCTTTCAGTGTTTAAAAGAGGCCAGGTAAGGTGGTTCACACCTGTAATCCCAGCACTTTGGGAGGCGGCAGATCATTTGGGGTCTGGAGTTTGAGACTAGCGTGGCCAACATGGCAAAACCCCATTTCAACCAATAATACAAAAATAAGCCAGGCAGGCTGGTAGGCGCCTGTAGTCCCAGCTACTAAGGAGGCTGAGCCATGAGAATCACTTGAACCCAGGAGGCGGAGGTTGCAGTGAGCCGAGATCATGCCACTGCACTCAGCCTAGGCAACAAAGTGAGACCCTGTGTCAAAAAAATAAACCTGACCAGGCGTGATGGCTCACACCTATAATCCCAACACTTTGGGAGGCTGAGGCTGGTGGATCACCTGAGATCAGGAGTTGGAGACCAGCCTGGCCAACATCTCTACTAAAAATACAAATATTAGCCAGGTGTGATGGCACATACCTGTAATCCCAGCTGTATGGGAGGCTGAGGCGGAAGGATCGCTTAGGCCCAGGAGGTCAAGACTGCAGTGAGCTGTGATTGTGCCACTGCACCCCAGCCTGGGTGACAGAGTAAGATCCTGCCTAAAAAAAAAAAAAAAAAAAAAAAAAAAAAAAAAAAAAATTAACCTAAGAAAAACTTTTAGAAACTGTATTTTTGTGGTACCCTTCCCCAGTAACAGCCTCAGAGACAAATCTTAATTTCTAATACTTATCCAAGTACTCTGAGGTTTTAATCCAGAGAATAGAGGCTCTAAAAGGAAGTCTGGGAAAGGCATTATTTTAGTGCTTACAAGAAAAGTCTCAAGATCAAGCTTCCTAAATCCTTATTCTGTTTGTAATCTGCATCTCTCTCTTAGCAGCTCTGATTCTGTCTTCCTTTTTCCTAAACGATTCCCAAGACCTTAGACCGTAGTGGGGAAGTGTCTACCTCTCTGTGTTGTTTCTGTTGGTAGATTCAGCTTAGCCCCCCCTTCCCCCCTGCTGAGAAGGATCATGAGCCCCTCACCTAATTTCGGTGCCAAAGAACAAGGACCCCATATCATTTGTCTCATCCCCTGCCAAGTACCACGCTCTTGTGTGGAAGTTCCCTCGTGCTAAGTATGCTCATACCCTGACTAAACTCAGAATGAATTTATACCCAAGACAAAATAGCAAATGCGCTGACATGCAGGGGAAGCTGTGCTAAGCCTCTACCACCTTCCTGATCCAACTACTCCTCCCTGAACACAGCAGGCCATGAACAATGCTACATGCCTATAAATATTACTTGGTTACTGCCAACAACCATGAAAAGGGAGAACCAGGAATTCTGGCCACGGGTGACACGTGCAGGCTTCCTCCTTCCCTCACAGCTGGTTACCCAAGAGGCAGATGGGCATGCAGTTAGGGCACCAGCAGAGCAGGACACACCTCCAGAGATGGTTACTCAAGTAATCTGATTCCTTAAAACAACATAAGTAGTCATCATGAGAAAAATCAGAACTTCATTGGACTTATTATGCTTATTTTACAGTGTAGTGTTTAAAAATTGCTTTGGGGCAGGGTGCAGTGGCTCACACCTATAATCCCAGCACTTTGGAAGGTGAAGGTGTGTGGATCACTTGAACCCAGAAGCTCAAAACCAGCCTGGGTAGCACAAGGAGACTGATCACTACAAAAATTTAAAAATTAGCTAGGCACAGTGGCGTGTGCCTGTGGTCCCACTACATAGGAGGCTGAGATGGGAGGATTGCTTGATCAGAGGAGATTAAGGCTAGAGTGAGCTGTGATCATGCCATAGCACTCCAGCCTAGGTGACACAGCAAGACTTTGTCTCAAAAAACAAATGGGCCGGGCATGGTGGCTCATGCCTACAATCCCAGCACTTTGGGAGGCCAAGGCAGGTGGATCACTTGAGGTCAGGAGTTTCAGACCAGCCTGGCCAACATAGTGAAAACCCGTCTCTACTAAAAATACCAAAAATTAGCCAGGCGTGGTGGCAGGTGCCTGCAATTCCAGCTACTCAGGAGGCTGAGGAAGGAGAATCACTTGAACCCTGGAGGCAGAGGTTGCAGTGAGCCAAGATTGTGCCATTGCACTCCAGCCTGGGCAACAAGAGCGAAACTCCATCTCAAAGCAAAAAAATAAATAAATAATTGCTTTGAGAGAGGAAAAACTCACTTTTCAGAGGTTAGAGCCCCTAATTCCAATCCTGCCTGGCAAGAGCAGTCCTGCATATCAGGGATGGACACAGTTTGTCCCCAGTCTTGTTACACAGGAGCAGAGACCCAGTGATGCCAAGAGCAGAGGGTTGTGCCTCCCACAAAACGCAATGAAAACATCAGACCTTGGCTGAAAAAGAGGTTGTAAACTAGGAGCTTGTAGGCTCTATTTAGCCAATAGATGCAGAAACGCATTATGTTTAGCTTCCATAATGTTTTCATGTTTGTTTGTTTGTTTGTTTGTTTGAGTCAAGGTCTCACTCTGTTGCCCAGGCTGGAGCTCAGTGACACAAGCATGGCTCAACATCCCAGGCTTAAGCAATCATCCCACCTCAGTCTGCCAAGTAGCTAGAACTACAGACATGTGCCACCACACCTGGCTAACTTTTTAATTAATTTATTTATTTTTATTATTTTTATTTTAAAAAAATAAGTAGCCTGTAATCCCAGCTACTTAGGAGGCTGAGGCAGGAGAATTGCCTGAGCCCAGGAGGCGGAGGTTGCGGTGAGCCGAGATCGCGCCATTGCACTCCAGCCTGGGTAACAAGAGCGAAACTCCGTCTCAAAAAAAAAAAATAAAATAAAAAATAAAAAATAAATAAATTGGCCGGGCGCGGTGGCTCAAGCCTGTAATCCCAGCACTTTGGGAGGCCGAGGCGGGTGGATCATGAGGTCAAGAGATCGAGACCATCCTGGTCAACATGGTGAAACCCCGTCTCTACTAAAAATACAAAACATTAGCTGGGCATGGTGGCGCGTGCCTGTAATCCCAGCTACTCAGGAGGCTGAGGCAGGAGAAAGGAGAATTGCCTGAACCCAGGAGGCGGAGGTTGCGGTGAGCCGAGATCGTGCCATTGCACTCCAGCCTGGGTAACGAGCGAAACTCCGTCTCAAAAAAAAAAAAGGAATGTCACTACTGAACCGAAAGTGCTACATGGCCAAAGTTGTCTGAGTTAATTATGAGGGAAGTACACTTCCACCCTAAAATGGTGGAGATCCCACTCCTTTTGGACTCAAATGGTCTGCTTCACTCATCTATGAAACCTGCCTGCTCCCTATGCATAAGTATTTGAGTTTGAGATCCTTTAAAGCTTTGATTCACATTAATTTTTTTTTTTTTTTTTTTTTTTTTTTTTTTTTTTTTTTTTTTTTTGAGATGGAGTTTCGCTCTTGTTACCCAGGCTGGAGTGCAATGGCGCAATCTCGGCTCACCGCAACCTCCGCCTCCTGGGCTCAGGCAATTCTCCTGCCTCAGCCTCCTAAGTAGCTGGGATTACAGGCATGCGCCACGACGCCCAGCTAGTTTTTTTTGTATTTTTAGTAGAGACGGGGTTTCACTATGTTGACCAGGATGGTCTCGATCTCTCGACCTCGAGATTCACATTAAATTGCAGAATTTGTAGCGGAGCGAACACATTAAGGATTTGGCAGTCTATTTTCACTACAAATAAAGGTCCTTGACAGCTGGTTTGGGTTTTTTGTTGGTTTTTTGTTGTTGTTGTTTTTATTAAAGAAGTGTCATTCATGTGAGGGGGCCATGCTAATCTTCTCTCTATCATTTCAATTTTAGTGTATGTGCTGCCGAAGCACTGTTGTTTGTTTTTGAGACAGAGTCTCTCTGCTGCCCACGCTGGAGGGCAATGACACAATCTCAGCTCACTGCAACCTCTACTTCCTGGGTTCAAGTGATTCTCCTGCCTCAGCCTCTCAAGTAGCTAGGATTACAGGTGCGCACCACTGCATGAGCTAATTTTTGTATTTTGAGTAGAGATGGGGTTTCACCATGTTGGCCAGGCTGGTTTCAAACTTTTGACCTCAGGTGATCCGCCCACCTTGGCTTCCCAAAGTGCTGTGATTACAGGCAGGAGGCACTACACCCAGCCTTGTTTTTCTATGGGAAAAGATACGTAGCTTGGGGGCTCCATGTTCTGAAGAGGATGCAGACAGTTGCTACCACTATAGCAGGAAAGAAGACAGACAGCCTGAGACTGAAAGCAGAATATAAGTTGAGAATTTCACAGTGGGGCTGCCAGTCGGGAGTGCACCTACCTTGCTTGCTCTTCAGGAACTCTGTCATGCCTCATCTCTCTTCCAGCCTAGCTGCACCGAGCAATGGCTAGCCTGATTCCAGAGTTGAATTTGTTTGGGCCAAAACAATTGTTTTAATTGGCCAGGCCAGTTGGCACTGCCACCCTGCTCATGATATCAAGAAAACCTGAGGATGTTGCACCACCTGCCTGGATCTATAGACCCTCTGCATGCTGCCAGACCACCAGCACTTCAGACAATAGGTTTTGTCCATACTGTGTATGGTCCATGAAGGAGGAGTGCCTGAAGTGGCTACAGCTGTACTAGGCCCTGGTGATGCTCCTTCTCCCCTGGGGGTGCTCCTGGAGCAACACTGGCCATCCTGTCATTTCCTATGGCTGCATCCTGGGCCAAAATACAAAGCAGCTTTGAGGTGCAACTTATTATTTTGCCTTATGCATTAAAAAGGCCAAATGATATTAAAAATTAGTTCTAACCATTTAAAAAATTAGTTCTCTATATTTTTTTAATTTGTTTTTTGAGACGGAGTCTCGCCCTGTCACCAAGGCTGAAGTGCAATGGTGCGATCTTGGCTCACTGCAATCTCTGCCTCCTGGGTTCACGCAATTCTCCTGCCTCCCGAGTAGCTGGGATTAGAGGCATGCACCACCAGGCCTGGCTAATTTTTTGTATCTTTATTAGAGATGGAGTTTCACTGTGTTGGCCAGGCTGGTCTTGAACTCCTGACCTCATGAGCCACCTGCCTTAACCTCCCAAAGTGCTGGGATTACAGGAGTGATCCACTGCACCCAGCCTAAAGTTTTAACGTTTTTTAAAAATGGTTATGGTTAGCTAAAATGTTTTACAACAAGGAGAAGAAAATCTGAGAAAATCAGTGCTGAACTCCTGACCTTAAGTGATCTGCCCACCTTGGCCTCCCAAAGTGCTGGATTACAGGTATGAGGCACCACACCAGCCTTGTTTTTCTATGGGAAAGGATATGCAGCTTAAAGGTCTCTTTTTTTTTTTTTAAGACAGGGTCTCAGTCTGTTGCTCAAGCTGGAGTGCAGTGGTGCCATCATGGCTTACTACAAACTCCACCTCCCAGGCTCAAGCGATTCTCCCACTTCTGCCTCCCAAGTAGGTGGGACTACAGGCACCTGCCACCACACTCTGCTAATTGTGTTTTTTGTAGCAACAGAGTTTCACTTTGTTGCCCAGACTGGTCTCCAACTCCTAGGTGGCAAGCAATCCTCCTGCCTCAGCCTCCCAAAGTGCTGAAATTACAGGAGTGAGCCACCATTCCCGGCCCATAAAGGTCTTTCGAAATCAAAATCAGACCCTTTCATTGTCTTCTGCCCAGTCTGCTCATGGTTCTAATTTCCAAGTGTATATTCTTTTTTACTGATATTGTAATGTTTGTTGACTTAAACCATATAGCGCTATAGATGATGGGGAGAAAACCTGTTGGATCAGATTATTCAAAACTATTTCCCAAAGTTGCAGGAAACAAAAGATACCTCCTTGGAAATCTCCACTGTAGGGACAACTCATCAAGGCTCAGTACCTCCCAATTTTTTCAGAAGGCACTGTGACAAATCAAGGAATGCCTTACTCTTACCACTAGGTGTCACACAAAACAATAAGGAATAAAGACCACCAAATCCTGAAGGCTACCAGAAATATAAAACCATAGAAGGTGGTACCAAAAAACTCTTATTTTTATTTATTTTTTATTATTATTTTATATTTTTATTTTTTATAACCATTTTTATACCTGCAGCCAAATATCTTCTTCTGATATATCCTCTATAAGTGGGACATTTAGAGTTTGATGTTTCTGTACATATTTAAAAGAAAGGAATATCCCCAGATGAGGGATGGGGGACATCCACCCTTTATTTTCCCTAACAGTTGGAGTAGAAAACAGTTTTGAGTATATTCCAAATTACAGGGTAGTCAGTCTGATTTTCACCGTGTGTTTTCAAAAGTGTTAATACTAAGACTGCTTTGGCCAAATGATTAATATGCCAAGGAGTTCCTGGGTAAATTTCTATGCATTTCAGTTTCTTTTTAGGAAAGTAGGAACAATATCTGTCTTACAGGATTACTTCTGAGAACTAACAATGTGATGCATAAAGTGCTGGAGTTCTTTCAAAAATTTATACCCTGTCATTTCCAAAAGCCATGGTCACCCTTACAGTAGCAGAGTTAGGCATGCATTTGTAGACAAGTAATACGACTTTTAAGCTAGAAAAGACCTTAAGAAGCATGCAAATCTAATCTTATTATACAAGTAAGTATACCACAAAAAAGTTAACTGATCTCTCCAACTAATGTGCAGTTAAGTAAGGACAGAACCCGGAATTGAGATGCTCCGATTGCAGTCACGTTTCACCTTGCCGCAATCGTTGTATATTTGCATATCATAAGCTTACAGAGACAATGGTGTCTATCCCTGGGAAGTTTTCATTGTTACATGTGATCATTACTACCCTGGAGGTTCTATCTGATTTTAATTTTTTTCCCTTCATACTTGGTCTATCTCTGTTGAGTCAGATTTCTTACATTCTAATATTGGGGGAAGGGTGGAGATTTGAAGAGAGGGGAAGGGTTGGTTAGTACATGGCCAGTCAAGGTAAAGATGACTGCAATAATCACCAGAAATCTCTGCAGAACTATAGAGGCCTCCTGGGACTAATCCTGAAGAGCTCTGACTGAAGTTTACTTTATTTTTCCTATACCAACTCTATCAAGTAGAATTCAGTCCATGGCTTGCAGACTTGGAGGTGGAGACGGGGTGGAGAGCATAAATTCTATTTCTGCAGGTAAAACCAGAGCACAGTGAGCCCAAACCCATTTCTACCCGGGTGGCATGAATGAGTCCAATGCTACCGTCCCCCGGGACAACGGAGCAAGGAGGGGTGGGCAGGATGGGGCTGCCTTCAGCCTCCTGCAGGATGCCTGGCAACTACTTTCTTAGCGGTCCTTAAGGTCCAAACGCGGTTAAGGTACTAACTAAACTCATTCTTCAGTCTCCTTCTCCAAGTGCTCCTGGAAAATTGCTCAGTTTGCACCCAGAAGTAGGCTCAGGATCCATTCTTTGCAGCAGCACAATGTAGGTCAGAGAGCATGAACAAAATCGCTACTTATGAACACAAAGCTATTTTGTTATTGCAAAGTATCCACAACCACTACTATAAAGATTAACAACTAGCTTTACTTAGGGGGAAAAAAATCCTGATCCTATTCAGCAGTTTCCCTCGTTCGGGGAGAGTTCACCCCTCCCCCAGTCAACAGGGCTGTTCTTCCCTAGGAAGTTATTTGGGAGTTCTCCAAGGATTTAGGTATTCACTCCAAAGCATTCACAACTTCTACCTGGCGGGGTGCGTGAGGGTGGGGGTGGCGAAGCTAAACGTCCCTGTGCTGCAAAGAGCCTGGTATTGGTAGAAGCACGTCGGCGGCCTGCAGCCTTCTAATCACAGTGCGTCCTTCCCCTTAGAGAGAAGTCTGGGGAAAGCAAATCCCTACTCCCAGCCATCATTTCCACTCTTGCGTTTTCAAAAGATCAAAAAACGGAAAGGACCGGCAGGTTGGCAAACCCCAAAGAAGGACTGCCCATCAGGTCGGCGTCCTTAGGATCTCAGCAGCCGACGACCCCAATTCAAAGCGATCGTGGGAAACCCCAGGGAAAAATGGTCAACTTGCAGAGGGACAGGATTACAGAGTGCAGGCTGCAGGGAAGTACCGGGGGCAGGGGACCTGGTAGGAAGGACTTTCCAGCCACTCGGCGCTCATCAAAAAGTTCCCTGGCCGTGACCCCAGTGCCTCATTGCAGGGAGTTTCTCCGATGAACCCCAGCTCAGGGTTTAGGCTTCTTTTTCCCCCTAGCAGAGGACGAAGCCAGTTCTCTTTTCTGGTCTGACTGGCTTGGAAATTCCCCGCGCCAGACCCCGCCCCAGAGAAATCCCCGGCCAGCGTTTATAAGGGCGCTGGGGCGGCGCTGCAGAGCCCACAGCAGCCCGCGTCGCCGTCCCGTCCGCTAGCGCTCCAGCGAGGAAGCAGCGCGCAGCCCGCGGCCCAGCGCACCCGCAGCAGCACCCATAGCTCGTCCGAGCCATGTTCCAGGCAGCCGAGTGGGCCATGGAGGGCCCCCGCGATGGGCTGAAGAAGGAGCGGCTGCTGGACGACCGCCACGACAGCGGCCTGGATTCTATGAAGGACGAGGAGTACGAGCAGATGGTCAAGGAGCTGCGGGAGATCCGTCTTGAGCCGCAGGAGGCGCCGCAGGGCGCCGAGCCCTGGAAGCAGCAGCTCACCGAGGACGGGGACTCGTAAGTGGCGCGGGCCCGGGGACAGGGGTCGTCGGGAGGACCGAACGCGCGCGGGCGGGGGTTTGGGGGTGGTGGGCCTGCAGCCCGCTCCCGGGGACAAGCGCTGAGGCCGGGCTAGCGCCGCGGCGCCCCGGGTCTCCGGCACCGCGCCGAACGCTGCAGGGCTGCAGGGCTGCAGGGCCGCGCGGGGCACCGGCCCGACTCAGAGGGGCAGCGGCTCGGCGCTAGTGGACCGCAGCGTCGCCACACGCCCCCCTCCCCCCAGACCCGTCCTCTAGGCCGGGGGCGGGGCGGCGACGGGGACGCGAAGTCCCCGGTTGCATAAGGCGGGGCGGGAGTTTCTGGCCGCTGGCGGGCGCCTTGCAGCCGGGAGGGGAAGTACAGGGCGTTCCGAGCCGGCGGGAGGGCGGGGCGGTCTGGCCGGCGCCCGCCGAGGCCGGGGGGAGGGGGGCGGAAAGTCCCTGGGCGCCTGCCAGGAACACTCAGCTCATAATAACCTCGCGGAAAACACCGCGGCCTCGGCCTCCAGAAACCCCGGCCTTGCGCAATCCCCCGCAGCCCGCGCCTCCCTGGGCCCCACGCGGTGCACTCACCACCCCTGGGGGTTTTTCCCTCTTCCCCACAGGTTCCTGCATTTGGCCATTATCCATGAAGAAAAGGCACTGACCATGGAAGTGATCCGCCAGGTGAAGGGAGACGTGGCCTTCCTCAACTTCCAGAACAACCTGCAGCAGGTGCGCGCTTGCCTGGCCCTGGCTCTCTCTGACCCTGGGACAGAGTTAATGTAGCAGAGTCACCCCAGATCCTTTCTGAATTAAGGGCCACTGGGCATTATTCACCCTCGTCGTTAACTTCACATCAGCCCACATCCTAGAGCGGGAAGAAAATTCTATGGATTTGGTGAGGTCTTTATGACCCACCTGGAGCCTCTGCTATTTGCCAGCCCTCCCCACCCTCCTGCCTGGGAGGAGCAGCACCCAACCAGGAGACATTGGGGATCCGGGGAACTCGGGGTGTGGGTTTGATCCATGGCTTACTCTCTCTGGTCTCTCTTGCATTGGTAGACTCCACTCCACTTGGCTGTGATCACCAACCAGCCAGAAATTGCTGAGGCACTTCTGGGAGCTGGCTGTGATCCTGAGCTCCGAGACTTTCGAGGAAATACCCCCCTACACCTTGCCTGTGAGCAGGGCTGCCTGGCCAGTGTGGGAGTCCTGACTCAGGCCTGCACCACCCCGCACCTCCACTCCATCCTGAAGGCTACCAACTACAATGGTATGTCTGCCTCCCTGCCCTGCCCCACCCCCTCAGAGGGCAGGTGACATGGAGAAGGGGCAGGTGGGCCAACTTAAGGAGTCCAGGAAAGAGCTTAAATTCCCAACCTGTGAAAGGTTGAGAAAAGATGTGTGCAATATGCCTATTGGATACCTTTATAAAGTCCCTTCAGAACCCAGAATGTGGGTTCTTAAAATTCAGAAGACATGACTGTTTGTCCCATAAAAGAATAGGTGAAAGGTGCTGCTTTAGGAGTGAGGGTTGAAACAAATGGTTATACTTTTTTCCTTTTGTTCTTCCAGGCCACACGTGTCTGCACTTAGCTTCTATCCATGGCTACCTGGGCATCGTGGAGCTTTTAGTGTCCTTGGGTGCTGATGTCAATGCTCAGGTGAGTGCTTCCTGCCTCCCATGTATTGAGTCAAGCTCCTCGTGCTCGCATTGCAAGCAGAAATTCCAAACCCAGCCATAAGCATCTCAAATTCCTTTTGGTTTCAGGAGCCCTGTAATGGCCGGACTGCCCTTCACCTCGCAGTGGACCTGCAGAATCCTGACCTGGTGTCACTCCTGCTGAAGTGTGGGGCTGATGTCAACAGAGTTACCTATCAGGGCTACTCCCCTTACCAGCTTACCTGGGGCCGTCCAAGCACCCGGATACAGCAGCAGCTGGGTCAGCTGACACTAGAAAACCTTCAGATGCTGCCAGAGAGTGAGGATGAGGAGAGCTACGACACAGAGTCAGAATTCACGGAGGATGAGGTGAGTCTGAACTGCTTCAGTATTCTGCAAAATTAATGAGGTGGGGGGGCATTCCCTTCACCTTCCCAGGCCCCTAGAGCTGCTCTTCATCAGAGGAATGTCCATGTAATGGATCTCTCAAATTTCAGTGTATAACCAGTATCCCAAGAATGTGCCTTTTTTTTTTTAAAATAGCTTACTCTTTTTTTAAAAGAGAAGCATTAAAGGCAAACTCCCTCAGCCTGTACAGTTCATTATATTTGGGAGAATGGAGTCCAAGTGTTATTTCCAGTAGCAGCTTCCCCTCCCCATCCCAATAGCTTGGCAGAGCTCCGGAAGTTTAACATTCTTTTTTTCCCCTTGTTTTCAGCTCCCCTATGATGACTGTGTGTTTGCAGGCCAGCGTCTGACATTATGAGCGAAAAGGGTCTGAAAGAACATGGACTTGTATATTTGTACAAAAAGAGAGTTTTATTTTTCTAAAAAAAGGAAAAAAGAAAAAAAAATTTTAACGGTGTACTTATATCCATACTGCACACTGCCTGGCCCAAAACATTTTACTGTGGTGGGATCAGCCCTCATTTTGTTACTTTTGTGAATTTTTTCTGGGGGACAAGAATTATCATTGAAATTCCAAGAAAACTTCTTTTAAACTTCACCTTTGTGGGATTTTTGGAGAATGTTATCAAAAATTTCATGGAAGGACCACATTTTATAATATTTATTGTGCTTTGAGTGACTGACCTCAGTGGTATCCTGTGACATGTAACAGCCAGGAGTGTTAAACCTTTCAGTTGTGTGCGGTTAAAAGTTGCAACCTGTTAAGGTTTGTGTTACCCTCCTGTAAATGGTGTACATAGTGTATTGTTGGTAATTATTTTGGTACTTTTATTATGTATATTTATTAAACAGATTTTTACAAATGAGTTATTCTGATCAATTTCTTTGAGCTACCATGGGCCTACTGTTCTGAGCAGTTCCATTCTCGCAGAGGTGAAGGTAGATCATTGTAGAGGAACAGGGAACTGCCAGCAGCTTCTCACACCTGACACCCAACCTCCAGCAAAGCTTTGCAGGCAGCCTGGGCACGGCATGTGGGAGGGGGACTGTTGCAAGGTTATAGGAAATGCCAGTTGCATGCTAGGGGTGGAAGTGTGCCGCTTGGCCTGTGGTTGGAAAGCTCTCTGTTGTCATTCTGTCATCCCCTTGATTTAAACTGTTCCAGGACCCTAACTTCCACCTCAGGAAATTATTTTGGCCAAGAAGAATATGCTGAATTCGTATTATATAGAGCTGGGAAAGATCTCACTTATAGTACAGGAAGTTCCTAAGGACATAGGCTCAGAAATCAGACTGCACTGACATTTGTTAGCAGATGCTCTGCTCTGAGGCTTAGTTTTCTCATTTATTAGCTGGGCTATTGTGAAAATTATACAAGACAATCTACGTAAAATGCATAGCAGAGTGGAGGCATGTAGTGCTAAAGAAAAACAAGCTGTTACACAATATCCTGTATGTCATGCCAGGAGAAACAAGTCCAGAGAATGTCCTGTCCAGGGTCACCTTGCAGGAGAGGAAGGTGGTGAACTACCTACCAATCTTTTAAGATTGGGTGGTTAAACATCTTTTAAGGCAGTCCATCTCTAAATCTGTGTTTTGTTACTGGCTATAGCAGAAATGTGATAACACAGGCTTGAAGGGTCTTGTCAGTTCAGTCTACTGATTGTACTGAATGATTCTACAGAAGCAAATATCACAAGAAATCAGTAATGTGAAACTTGGCTTAGATGCTCTATCTTGAGGTTTTCATCCCTAAAATGCCTCTCTTGCCTAGGTAGAAAGAATAAAGATGGACACATGAAAAGCACAGACTGTACCACTATACAATAAGAAATCTGCATTTGGACCCTGTAAACATTTTAATTAAAAAAATTATTTTTTAGATGGGGTCTCACTCTGGCCTAGGCTGGGGTGCAATGGTGCAGTCACAGCTCACTGCAGCCTCAAACTCCTGGGCCCAAGTGATCCTCCCAGCTCAGTCTCCTGAGTACCTGGAACTACAAGCATGCAGCACCATGCCTGACTAATTTTTTTTTTTTTTTTAATTGTAAAGACAGGCTTTCCCTATGTTGCCCAGGCTGGTCTGGAACTCCTGGTCCCAAGAGATCCACCCACTGTGGCCTCCCAAAGCACTGGGATTGCAGGCCTGAGCCACCACACCCAGCCAAAATATTTTAAAAAGAGGAAAAAGTGAAGTTACGCATTCTAGAAAATGCATAGTAGTATATAAATGCAATTCATGTCCTTGACTTATACCTAAGAAAAAATTATTACATTATCCCTTTCCTGATCCACAAACGATGTCAAAGTCAAAAGAATATATTCACCTTCTTGGACCAAAAAGGAGCCAATATTTAGTGGTCTTCCACATATGAGGAGCGTTACTACAGACTGGAGCGTTACTACAGACTGGTTAAAGGCAGTTCTGCCCCAATTTTTTTTTTCCTGAGATGGAGTCTTGCTCTGTTACCCAGGCTGGAGTGCAGTGGCGCCGTCTTGGCTCACTGTAACCTCCACCTCCCAGGCTCAATCAATGCTCTCCCTTGATTGAACAATCAAGGTGCCTGTAATCCCTTGATAGCTGGCCTGTGGTTGGAGAGCTCTCTGTTGTCATTGTCATCCCCTTGATTTAAACTGTTCCAGGATCCTAACTTCCACTTGAGGAAATTATTTTGGCCAAGAAGAATATGCTGAGTAGCTGGGATTACAGGCACCCACCACCACACCCAGCTAATTTTTGTCATGTTAGTAGAGATGAGGTTTCACCATGTTGGCCAGGCTGGTCTCAAACTCCTTACCTCAGGTGATCCACCCACCTCGGCCTCCCAAAGTGCTGGGATTACAGGCTTGAGCCACCACACCTGGCTCTGCCCCATTTCTATAGTGTTAGTCCATCTGGAACCCTGCACTGGCAGTCCCTCTAGCAGTCTTATTCACTTGTCAAAGCCCAGGTTCTTCATTGAAAGTCCTTGTCCATCCCCAAGCACCTCAACACAGATGATAAATGACCAACCACAGGAATTAGGTCCATTAGGTTCAGCTCTCAGCTAAGTGGCAGAGGTAAGGTGGGAGTGGGGGCAATATCCCCATCCTCATCCTCAAAAGACCAATGGTTGGAAACTTGGCTCCCCAATTTTGGAATGATGCCCTTAGTGCTTCTTTCTCAAACATGACTCTTCTTCCCTCTGAAAAGGGATTAAGTTTGTACCAATTCACCCAAACACAGTCTCTAGTTTTGTGTTAGATTGGAGAAACAAGACAAAATGTGCTATCGCCCCATCCCCAATCTCCTTAGTGGCCAGTTCTTGCATAGGGGCATCACCCTCCATGGTCACAGCAGGAGAGGGCTCCTTCTCACCCACTCGGGCCCAGACTCCCACCTTTCCCGGCTTCAGCTTTTTTGCTTTCTAGATCCCAAACCTCGTTAAAGGCTCTGTCATCTGCATAAATCTCGAGGTAGCTGGGCCCAGTTAAGCACTAAAGGCCGCAGCGGTTCTTCCTTACTCTCTGGTTCTTCTCCCATTTCTCATCTCCTCTTCTTTTTCTTTCTTGGAGATAGGGTCACATTCTCTTGCCCAGGCTGAAGTGCAGTGGCGCAATCTCAGTTTTCTGCCACCTCTGCCTCCTGGGTTCAAGTGATTCTCCTGCATCAGCTTCCTGCGTAGCTGGGATTATAGGTGCACACCACCACACCTGGCTAATTTTTATATTTTTAGTAGAGACGGTTTCACTGTGTTGGCCAGGCTGGTCTCAAACTCCTGAACCTCAGGTGATCTGCCCCCACACTGCTGGGATTACAGGTGTGAGCCACCACACCCTACCCTCCCTGCTTTTCTTTTTTTTTTTTTTTTTTTGAGATGGGGTTTCGCTCTTGTTACCCAGGCTGGAGTGCAATGGCACGATCTCGGCTCACCGCAACCTCCGCCTCCTGGGTTCAAGCAATTCTCCTGCCTCAGCCTCCCTAGTAGCTGGGACTACAGGCGTGCGCCACCATGCCCAGCTAATTTTTGTATTTTTAGTAGAGACGGGATTTCACCATGTTGACCAGGATGGTCTCGATCTCTTGACCTCGTGATCCACCCGCCTCGGCCTCCCAAAGTGCTGGGATTACAGGCTTGAGCCACCGCGCCCGGCTACTCTTTTTTTTTTTTTTTTTAATTTATTACTTTTCTGCCCTGTCTGTTGGTTAGGTGATTGGAGTTACCTAAAGGAAAATTTTAGGAGGAAACATTCTAATCTGTAGAAAGTCTTCAAATTCCTAGGCAAACAAGAGAAAAAGCTCTCAAAGCAAATACGCCAGCAGGAGAGCCTTCTTTAATGCACGTTGATTTCCTCCAAGAATTTACAGGTCATGTAGGGACAGGTAGGAACTAAGAGCGCCTGGGGAAAGAGGGAAGTGATACAAGGGGGAAATAATATATCGCGTCAGCAACTTCCTTGAATTCGGTTCCTTGATTCTTTCTGCCTGCCTCATCCATCAGGATAAATTTCCTGTAGAGGCCACGTGTACCAAGTCCTTCCAGAAAGTAAGGATTTTTCTTTAAAGAGGGAACAAACTAGTCTGAGCAATCTGAAGATCTTCCCCTGGGGCCTGGAAATTCAGAAGGCTGGGAGCTTGGGTGGGTTTGCCTGGAAAGTTCAATTACTACTGGAGGTGATTTAGCAGTGACACAATTGAGACTGTGAGACGGGCCTTCCTTCCTCCCCACTTCCTACCCCTGGCTTTCTGCCAGATTTTCATTAACTTGCCTTAAGTGTAACTGAAATTTCACTTGGCAAGGAAGGTCCAAGTTGTGGAACTCCAGTCTGAAATATGCCCAAGAAACATTCCCCCACCTCTGGTGCCTGGACGAGAATATTCCAGGTTGCCGGGCGCGGTGGCTCAAGCCTGTAATCCCAGCACTTTGGGAGGCTGAAGCGGGTGGATCACGAGGTCCAGAGATCGAGACCATCCTGATCAACATGGTGAAACCCCGTCTCTACTAAGTAAAGTACAAAAAAATTAGCTGGGCATGGTGGCGCGTGCCTGTAATCCCAGCTACTCAGGAGGCTGAGGCAGGAGAATTGCCTGAACCCAGGAGGCGGAGGTTGCGGTGAGCCGAGATCACGCCATTGCACTCCAGCCTGGTTAACAAGAGCGAAACTCCGTCTCAAAAAAAAAAAAGAATATTCCAGGTTGTTTCCCCATGAAAGGGAGCATTACGGAAACTGAAACTGGATCTCACCTGTGTTTCCCTCCCAGCGAAGAGCAGCTCTCAATCCCATTCATTTGCCTGCATCAGAAAGAACTATTCTTCAGGCCCACCAAAGAGGAATGAGCCACACAGCCTCTGCCCCAAAGGGCTCCTTGCTTAGGTGGAGAGGGAGACAGACAAGCCCAGGGAAGCGCATGGTGAGATAAAAGCCCAGCCATCAGCACATCATTGGGGTGGGAGAGACAGGTCCAGACTTTATATTCCAGTTAGGTATTTACCTGCCAGTACTACATTATCTTAGTCCATGCCCCAAGTGACTGTGGCAGGCACCCTTTTCACAGGGGGTAGGAAGGATGACCCAACATCAGCCAATCTGCGTCTTTGAAAAGTAGGACTGGACCCTGAACGCTGACATGAAAATAGGGCCAAGGCCCACCAACCGGTCATCAATCCAGGTAAGTGTGACCAGGTGCAGTGGTTTATGCCTATAATCCCAGCACCTTGGGAAGCTGAGCCAGGCAGATCATTTCAGCCCAGGAGTTTAAGACCAGCCTGGGCAATTCTAGGGAGAGCTGATCTCTACAAAAAAATTCATTAAGGCCGGGAGTGCTGGCTCACACCTGTGATCCCAGCACCTCGGGAGGCCGAGGCGGGCGGATCAGTTGAGGTCA